ATTTCACTCTCCACACCCCAGGCTCTTGATGCAGGTACATTCAAAGAAATAATCATCTTGGCTTTTCTATTATGATGATTGCCTTTCTTTTGGCTCAAAGTGGGTAACTAAGGTTGACTTTATTGTTGGGGAAATAGAAACAAGGCCTTTAGTCATTAAACCTAAAAGCTCTTTAATCTGAGTATGATTTGTTATCCCTAGTTTGGTGATTGCCATCATCAAAATGTCTACAAATATCCAACCCTTAAAAAGGACTTTTATGGATTGTTGTAGGGCTTAGATATGGTTACTGAAAGAATAATCAATATAAGGCTCAAAATACCTCATTTGCCCCCTAGTTGCATGCCATGTCTTGGAGATTTCTTCTTCACTTTATTTTAAAACTTTCTTCTCCTTTATCCCTATTTTTGTCTTCCATTTTTTTTTTTTTTTTGAGTTTCCACTTTCTTCAAGCTTTGTTCTTCCTTTCAAAATAATTTTTACCACATCCTCCAATGAAAGTGACATCTGCTCCCAATTTGGCATGCAACAATATTCCCAGGTTGTTGAATTGGTCATGAAAGAATGTTCATTAAGCTCAAAGTAAGGCTAATCTTTCAAGGTTTAGGGAATGAAGTTTCAAAAGGAAGGCCTTCTATCCTTGGATCTTCTATCGGCATCAAAATGATAACAATCACCTAACAGAGTTAGCAAAAATTCGACCATTTTCCCTCCTTTTATTTATTTTTGGTTAAATCCCCATTTTGGTCCCTGAACTATTGTACGGACCCTCGATTTGGTCCTTGAACTAAGGAAATCCCTGATTTGGTCCCTAAATTATTGTATGGACCGCGATTTGGTCCCCACTGTTTTTAATTTGGCCTAAGTTGGTCCTTGACCTATTGTACGGATCCCCAATTTGGTCCTTATTGTTTACAATTTCACCCCAATTTGGTCCTTGAGTTATTATTTAACAAAAGGACCAAGTTGGGGCTAAATTGGTAAACAGTAGGGACCAAATTGGGGATTCGTATAATAGTTTAGGGGTTAACTCAGGGGTCCGTACAATAGTTCAAGGACCAAATTAGGGATTTCTTTAGTTCAGGGACCATAACAGGGGTTTAACCTTTATTTTTTTGTTTTGTGCAATTTGTGGCAATTCTTAAAGATGAATCCTTGGCAAAGGTTTTAAATGGTAAGGATAAAAATTCTCAAGCTTTCTATCATAGGATTGTTTGTTTCAAATTTTGAGATCAATTTCTCTTTGTACATTTCTCTCATTCCTACTGATCCATTATTTCTCCCTCAATCACTTGCCTCATTTCTCAAACTTTCCTCTTTCCTTAAGCCTCAAGTTTCTCTATGAGGTTCAAAATTGAATTCAAGTTCAATAACAATGCAACTCATGGAAGTGTAAAATCAAGAACTGAATAACTATGAATTAAAACATGAAGAGCAAAGGTGCAAATTGCAATATGAAAGGAGTTTGGAAAAATACAAATGAAAACTAACATGATGGACAGATTTTATTTCAAAATGATAGGAATAAGGAAAAACTCCATTGTTCACTTATTCAAGCCCTCATTAGTAGCAGTTCTAAGATCAACCTTGTCTGAGTGGAACTATAAGCGTTGGCCCCTTCAATATCAAGCCTGTCTAGGAGTTGATGATGAAACTTGATTGGTGAGAGTAATTGCAGCCACCTTTTGAACTTCCTCAAAATCCTTCTCAACCATATTGATTGTTGAACCATTGTGTGTTGGTAGGGGGTTGTTAATGATATTCAAACCAACAACTTCAGGTTCTAATGTAATCTGTAACTCCTTTGCCTTTATCAAATCTTGAACACGATGCCTTAAAGCCAGACAATTTTCAAGGTCATGCCCAACACCTCCGTTGTGATATTCACATTTTGCCTATGGGTTGTACCATGTTGGAAATGGTGGTTTTACTGGCACCATAGGTATAGGAGTAACAATTCCAGCTGTTACTAATTGTCAAAACACTTTAGTATATGATAGAAGAAGCTTGTCAAAATGTCGTCTCACTTGTTATGGACGATTAACCCTAGAGGCGTATACAGGCCTTGATTGGCTTATAAAAGCTGTTGATTGGTAAGTTGGAGCTTGGAACCGATTGTTGAACTGCTCACGTGACTGTTTATTTCTTCCATATGCCTCATAAACTGAGCTTATAGTGTCGTTCTCATCTTTCTTCTTTCGATTCTAGCCAACCTTCTTTGAACTAGAAGCCCTTGAACTATCATTTTGGTATTGTTCAAGAACTCTTCATTGCTTGATAATCCATGATAATTCTAGACTTGATTCCATCCTCCACTTGATCTCCCACAACAACCAACTGGGCAAAAGTGTAATTCACACAAGTTATTAACTTCACACGATAAGGCCCTTTGGTTGACTTGATGAATAAATTACTTAATTCATGATCAGTCAATGAAGGTTGAACTCAAGCAGCCAATCCACGCCATCCCTGAGCAAATTCCTTAAAGTTCTCACTTGATTTCTTTTCCGCTTTTTGAAGATCCTCTCTATTAGAAGCTAATGATGTGTTGTATTCATATTGCTTCATAAAGTTATGAGTTAAATCATGCCAACTCTTAACTTTACTCTTGTTTAAAGTTGAGAACCAAGTATCAACAAGACCTGTCAGACTGTCTTGAAAATAATGTATCATTAGCTTCTTATCATTGGCATAAGGAGCCATCTTCTTGCAGTACATTGTCAACTGAGCATAAGGACAATCGATGTTGTTGTACTTATCAAATTCAGGCAATTTAAACTTACGGGGCAGTTGAACGTTTGGGAAAAAGCATAAAGATGAGATGTCAACTGGTTTATTAGTTTGGACACCTTGCATCGATTTTAGTGTTTCCTCTGTCAACTGCACCTTTGCTTTAATTGCCTTGTCTTCATCCTTTGTGATTAGCTTGACAACTTGAGTCTCTACTTGATCATTTTCATTAGACTGAACTGTAGCAACACCAACATTTAGAACAACTAGTTTTGTCCCAGAAGCTCCAACAATAGTTGGATTTGGTGGGCAAGATGACATTGGCTCCTTCCCAAGAGTTGAAGCAGATGTGGCCATAGGGAGATTTGCCACAAAAACATTTCCTTCAAACCAGGGATTTGTTGTCAAAGGTGCCCTTGTGACTATGTCGCTTGAAGAGATTGGAAGGAAGCCATCAATTCCTTCAAGGTATTTTCCATATTTTCAACATGATTTTCTAGAGCTACCTTCTCTAAATTAGCTTCGTTAACCATTTTCCTTGCAAGAGCTCTAGTGAGAATAGGTGAACGAACTCTTGGATAATTCTTTTTAGGACCAATCTTTCAACACCTAAAGAAATCTAAGCATTTTTAATAAATCATAGATTTATCTAATTAGCATTTTGAAAGAGAATTTCCCAAAGTTTCCACTAGATAAAATCAATGAATAAACCTATCTTCTAATTATCTGTTTTACACATGGATTCTTCATTGTCAAGAACAACTTTAGCCACTTGCATGTAAACGGAAGGAGAAATTAGAGCCAAGTAACTGTCACGCAAGCTAGAAACATGAGGAGATTGCCCCCTTCATGACCTTTTTGATTTTTTTTTTTTTGAACAGAAAAATAATGAGAAGATTGCCTCCTTCATATCTTTTCTTCTCTTATATTGAGGAACTTGCTTTCTCTCAACAAATAGAATTCAAAAAATGTGAAATTTGACTTCAAATGCTCAACCTCAACCATTTCAAAATAGATTCCATTGATCAACTTTTCAATTCATTGTTGGGTGACTAAATAATAATTGAAAATATTTTTCAATGGTGATCATGAATTTAAACTCGGAGAAAAAAAAAAAAAAAAAAACAAAGCAACGAAGATGCAGGACATAAAATCTTAGGATTGCCCTAATGATTTCTTAGTCCACTCCACTTGCAAGACATCAACTATTCTGCCAAATCTCTTGTCAAACCTCACTTTGTCAAGATTACCTATACTATTCTAAGCAATAACTGATGGGAATCAAGACAACAACATATCTACTACGTCATGTGATCCGTTACACAGCCAAGGAGGTCCAGTCATGCGAGCTAGGGCTAAGAAGATGCGTGAAGCTTTAAATGGCCTTATTGAGCAAATCTGGGTTGAAAACAACATACAACAAGCCAATCGAAGCTTGGATGATTATCAAGGCATGGTAAACATCATTCAGGTTCAAGAGAAGCTTAGGGTCATTTGCATGGAATTACACAGTTTGCGTTAAAATCGCACAATTCTGCCGCAACTTGTGGCAAACTGATATTTCGTGTTATTTTAGGTTATTTTTAGTGATTGTCACGTTTTTTGTATTATTTTTGGGCTGAACATTTGCTTATATGAAGCCCAATTCGTGGTTATTAGGTTTAGGCCTTAGGGTGTTAATTTCCTATTCTGATTAGGATTTGTTTTCTCTATTTAAAGGGCTTGTAACCCTAATGGGGGGAGAATGATTGAATCTGAGTTTTTGAGAGACTTTTCTCT